TAGACCCATCTATTTTAGTGGTTCTCAAACTATTTTTAACCTACACACATAGAGCATAAAGTTCATTATAATCGAATAAGAGGGTCTTCATTTAGCCACAATTTCCTATTAAGGAATGTTCTCTTGGAGTATGGGGAAAGATATACTAAAATATCTCATTTGTGGAGGGAATAAGCAAACTTAAGAGATACATCATGTAATAAAACTCATAGCAGTATTTAGAGGAAAATGTATTGAAGTGAATGCCTGTATTAAAAAAGGTGAAAATTATCAAATTAATAACCTAACTTTTTACTTTAAGAAACTAGGAAAAGAAAATACACAGTCAAGAGAAAAGAAATAATAATAATTGGAATGGAAAAATGAAATACAGAAGATAAAATTTAATAAAGAATATCAAGAAAACTATAAGTTGTTTTTTTGAAAAATCAACAAAATTAGCAAACTTTTACCAAGACTCATGAGAGAGATTAATTATGAAAGTGAAAAGACACACCAGAGAATGGAAGGAGAAATATCTATATATCATATGTATTAAGAATATACAAAGTACAGTTACGACTCAATAATAATGTCTAAAAAATTAAATGTATGAAGGATTTCAATAGAAATTTGTCTAAAAAAAGATACACAATGGACAATAAGCACATGAAAAGATGTTCAAAATGACTAGTCATTAGGGATATTTAAATCCTGACCACAAGATACCACTTGCTGCCCACTTAAATGGCTATGATTAAAAGGACAGAGCATAAATAGTGTCAGGATGTGGAGGGATAAGAGCTGTCAAGAATAATATGCAGAAATATAACGTGATATAGCCTCTTTGGAAAACAGTTTGGCAGCTTCTCAAAAATGTTAAATATATTCTTCGCCTAGGTCAATAACTATAAGAGTTTTTCCGATTTCTTCTAGAATTCTTATAGTTTCATGCCTTAGGTTTAAGTCTGTTATCCATAGAGAATTAATTGTTTTGAATGGCAAGAGGTGTAAATCCTGTTTTAGTCTTCAACATGTGACTATTTAATTTTCTCAGCACCATTTATTGATTAAGGATTCTTTCCCCCAGTGTATGTTTTTATCTACTTTGTCAACAATCAGAGGGCAATATAAGGATGGTTTTATGTATATCTGGGTTCTCCATTCTGATCCGTTAGTCTAGGTCTCTGGTCCTGTGCCAGTGCAATGCTGTTTGGGTTACTACAGCTTTATAGTACAGCTAGTTCTTTTTGCTTAAGGATGCTTTGGCTATTTGGAGGTCTTTTCTGGTTCCATATGAAGTGTCAAATTATTTTTTCTAGATCTAAAAAAACGACATTGGTAATTTAATGGGGATTGCATTGAATCTGTAAATCACTTGGGGTATTATAGACATTTTAACATTGTTGATTCTGCCAATCTGTGAGTATGGGATGTGTTTCCATCTGTTTATATCCTCTGCAATTTCCTTCCTCAGTGTTTTGTAGCTCTCTCTGTAGAGATCTTTCACCTCCTTAAATACATTCATAGATATTTTATTTTCTTTGTTACTATTGTGGAAGGTATTGAGCTTTTGATTTGATTCTCAGCTTGCGTGTTGTTGGCGTATAGGAATGCTACTGATTTGTGTAAATTAATTATATAACCTGAGACTTTGCTGGATTTATTTATCAATTCAAGGCATCTCCTGGCAGAATTTTTGGCATTTTCTAGATATAAGATCATATCGTCAGCAAGGGGAGATAGTTTGACCTCTCCTTTCCCCATTTGGATACCCTTGATATCATTCTCTTGCCTGATTGCTCTGGCTAGGATTTCCAGCACTATGTTGAACAGAAGTGGTGACAGTGGGAAACCTTCTCTGGTTCCAGTTGTAAGGGCAAATGCTTTCATTTTTCCACTGTGCAGTATGGTGTTGGCTATGGGTTTGCCAATATGGTCTTTATAATGTTGAGGTATATTCCATCTATGGCTATTTTGTTAAGAGTTCTTATCATAAAATGGTGCTGAATTTTGTCAAATGCTTTTTTTTTTTTTCATCTATAGAGAGGATCATATGGTCTTTGTCTTTGTTTCTATTTATGTGGTGAATCACATTTATAGATTTGCGTATGTTGAGCCATCCTTGCATCACTGGGATGAAGTCCACTTTATCATGATGGATTAAGTTTTTGATAAGCAGCTGAATTCGGTTTGCTAGGACTTTATTGAGAATTTTTGCATCTATATTCATAAGGAAGGGGCATTGGTCTGTAGCTTTCTTCTTTTGTTGTGTCCTTTCCTGGCTTTGGTATCAGGGTGATATTGGCTTTGTAGAATGAGTAGGAGAGGATTCCTTCTTTATCTATGTTATAAAATAAGTATAGCTACCAGTTCCTCTTTGTAGGCCAATTAATATTTAGGTGTGAAACCATCTGGTCCAGGCCATTTTTTTTTCTTGGGAGATTGTTTTATTGCTATTTCAAATTTGATACTTGATATTGGTATGTTCAGGAGTTCTATTTCTTCCTGATTGAGCCTAATTAGGTTGTGTGTTGCCAAGAGTCTGTCCATGTACTCAACATTTCCAAGTTTATGTACATAAAGATTTTTATGAAGAAGATCCCAAAGGCAATCACAGAAACAACACAAATAAATAAATGGGACCTGATCAAATTAAAAAAGCTTCTGCACAGCCAAGGAAACAATCAATAGTGAACAGGCAACCTACAGAATGGAAGAAAATATTCTCATGCTATACATTTGCTAAATGGCTAATAACCAGAATCTACAAAGAACTCAAACAAATCAGCAAGAAAACATCAAACCATCCCATCAAAAGTCTGCAAAAGACATAAACAGAAGCTTTTCAAAAGTAGATAAACTAATGCCATAAGCACATGAAAAAGTGTTCACTGTCTCTAATCATCAGGGAAGTACAAATCAAAACCACAGTGAGATATCACCTAACTCCAGTGAGAATAGCTTTTATCAAAAAGTCCCAAAACAACAGATGCTGGTGAAGATGCGGAATGAAAGGAAAACTCATACACCATTGGTGGGACTGCAAATTAGTATAACCTCAATAGAAAACAGTACAGGGATACCTCAAAGAACTAAAGAGTAGACCTACCATTTGATCTTGCAACCTTACTACTGGGTATTTACACAATGGAAAAGAAAAGAAAAACATTTTATAAAAAAGACACTTTCCCTCAAATGTTTATAGCAGCACAATTCACAATTGCAAAGATGTGGAAACCCAAATGCCCATCAACACAGGAGTGGATCGATAAAATGTGGTATATATATACCGTGGAGTATTATTTAGCCATAAAAAATGATGAACTTATACCTTTTGTAACAACCTGAATGTAAATAGAGATCATCCTTTTAAGTGAAGTATCACAAGAATAGAAGAACAAAAACCACATATACTCACTGCTAAAGTGAAACTTATAGATCAACACTCATGTGCACATATGGTAGTAAAATTCAGTGAAAATGAAGCAGGCCGGGGAGGAGGGATGGGTAAATTCACACCTAATGGGTACAATGCACACCATATAGGTAATGGACACACTTATAACTTTGATTCAAACTGTACAAAAGCAATTCATGTAATCAAAACGTTTGTACCCATGTGATATTCTGAAATTTAAAAAAGTTAAATATAGAGTTATGTTAAGGCCCAGCAATCCCCCACTCTAGTATATACCCAAGAGAACTGAAAGCATATGTCTGTGTAAAAAGTGTACATCAATGTTCATAAAAGCATTATTCATAATACTTAAAAGTGGAACAACCTAAATATCCACCGAATAAAGAATGGATAAATGAAATGTGGTATAAATACCCTGGAATACTCATAGTACTGATGCTACAACCTTGGTGAAGCAGAAGGCACTCTGCTAAATGAAAGAACTCAGCCATGAAAGACCACATTTTGCATGATCCCATTTATATCAACTGTCCAGAATAGGTAAATATAGAGAGACAAATAGTATATTAGACAAATCTATAGAGATAAATAGCCTTGGAATGGGTGTGGATTATGAGAAGTGACTGCTAACTGGTACTTAGATTTTTTTTTTTTTTTTGCACAATGAAAATGTCCTCAACTTAGACAGTGCTAACGTTTGCACAAATCTTTAATATACTAAAAACCAATGAATTGTGCAAAAGAAAGTCAATGTTATTTTTAAATGAAATTTAAAAAAAATATAAACTTTCAGATTTTTTTCTCTCAGTGAAAGAAATGTATAATTATAGATTTCTTCTCTTAATTATTACATTTAAGCATTGAGTCAAAAATTCAAACATTTTATAACAGAGATACTGATACAAATGTATATTTTTTGTGACAGTGTCCTGTATCTTCCTATAGCTTTTCATTTTGATGTGTTTTATAACCAGACCTCAAATAGATAAATACAACTTTTTATTGCACTGCCTGGTCAGTTCATACTAAAGTAGAGAATTTAAAAATTGCTTCCCCGAATCAGTTAAGATATAGATATTTTTGTCTATCATCATTCATATTAAACGTTAAAAACTTGCACAGTAAGTTTCAGAGGTTCATGTAGAATGAAGTTTATGATTTTATAAACACTAGTCATAGAAAAATAAACCATGAGTTGTTTTATTTGAAAATTACATATTGAGGAATTTCACTTTGTCCTCCTAATTACTTCCTATGCTAACAATGTAACTTTAGGGCTTTATGTTTTTTTGTTCACTGTAATACAATTATTTATTGACTATAACATGTAACAAGTTAGAATGATTTCTTGATTCTGATAACAAAAGAAAGAAAATAAAAGAAGTGTTAGTATATGTGTTTCCGGTTATACTATTTATTATTTTGGAAAAAAACTACAATTTATGATTTTATACTTAAGAGAATATGCTGTTTTCAAATTATATCTAATAATATATCTAATACTGTGTGACATATGTTATCACATCTACATTCAGAAAAATAAATGGAATTCACTGGCCAAACAATTTCCTCAGTTACCTATATTGTCACAATGTCTTACCTTTGTCTTGGCAGGCTGATGAGTGGTTGTTTATGACACCTCTTGCTAAGGCTAAAGAGTTTGTGTACAATTTTCTGCGCCTTTAGGAAAAGTTGCTTCATGCTGATCTCCAGTTGTTCATAACGGCGCTGAAAATTAGAATCCATTGTCCACAAATGCATTATAGTAGATGTGTTGAGGAAATAATTCATGGGTAGTCTTTTCATAAAGAACTTGAATTCATCTGAAAAAATGTTAAAATTCAACACTTTAATCATAAAACAATTATTTTCCCATTTCTCCCAAACACACTTAATATGTTAATATTAAAAACAAATAAATACAATGCATTACTTGTGAGTAGTCAATTAATAGAAGATGGGACATTTGGATTCTTTAAGATTGTTTTCTCTTTTGTTTCCCTTAAACTAGAACTTTCATGAAAGAAAATAAATAAATGATTTTTGCTAAAGCGAATACTTTGGGCAGAAAGTTTAAGTTCAATTTAATTTTTCTGTGTTCTCCTTTGATGTTATTTCAATGAACTTTCTCCAACACATAGTGGTCATTAATCTGGCTTTCATTTTTGTCATTAGTATTAATAACCCTCTCCAAATTTTGTATATTAAGAAATCTTTTCAGAAGTTTTCATTAACTCAGAATAGAAAATATATAAATTTATTTCTAAATGATTTTATTAATGTTTGATAGAAAAGAGAAAGCTTTTGAAATAGAAAATTATAATATTCAACTACACATGATTATATCCTATAACTGACCATATCCAATATTTTATGACATAATAGATTAAAACATAAGAGCATGCTAAAGAGAAAAAAATAAAAAGAATTTAAAGCTCCAATATTGGCTTTGTTTTTGTATCAGTAATTATGCCTTCTTTACAAATGTCTGGTTAACCATCAGTAGGACTAAAAGTTGATGCTACATGAAAATAAATAATCATCTAAAGGATCTATCAATTATCTAAACGCAAAGATAGTTGAGACATTAGTCAAAAGGTAAATGCAACTGTTTTGTAGTAAAGATTTTATAATTTACATTTATTAAAATAGCACAGTGTTAACACTAAGTAGATTGTGATATGTTAAAGATGCATATTGTAATCACTGGAGAAACCACTAAAAATGAAAAGAGATTACATTGAAATCCTAATACAGGAAATAAATTAAATATTAAAAAAGGAGAAAATAACCAAACTGTTCATTAACAGATGAATAGATATACAAAATGTGGTACACACTTACAATGGAATACTTTTAGCCATAAAAATGAAGTACTGATACATGCTACAACACAAATGAACTTTAAAAATATTAAGCTTAGTGAAATAAGTAAAAAAAAAACAGGACAAATACTATGTGATTTCATTTATATAAAATATCAAGACTAGTCAAATTCATAGAGACAATAAGCATATTAGAATTTATGAGGGGCTGGGTGAAGGGGGAATGAGAAGTTATTACATAATGGTTATATTCTGTTCTGGGAGGTGAAAACTTTTTAGAAAAAAGATAATAGTGATAGTTGTGAATTTAATTAATACCACTGAGTTGTAGATTTAAAATTGATTAAAATAGCATATATTGTTATATATATTTTATTACAGTAAAAAAGAAATTTCAAAAATAATAATAGTTGAGCTTTACCACAACTCCTTCTTTCTTTTGAAGTAGCTATTATGAATAAGAACTCAAAACATAAACTTTTGATTGATTTTAATACTTCTTTAGAGGATTTATTTTGTTAAGAACATCAAGCATTCATTTCCATGTGCCATATGGTGGTGTTTTCCCCCAACATACACAGCCACACAGCACAAGATTTGGAAAATGTTTTCAATGGGGAAAAAATATTCTTTGGCAAGTCAGACAAACCACGTTTCAGTTTCTATTCTACCTGTAAAAAAGTTATATGATATGCAATAAACTTCAGCTTCTCTCTTTCATCCTATGTAAATCATATAGAAAGTACTAGATGTTGATAATCCTATTTAACTTTAAAATCTATGATGTTACAAATGATTGGTTTTAGATGCCCATTTAGTTAGGTTTAAATATCAAATTTAAAAATAGTTGTTTTCAAAAGTCCAGTTACAGCTATTAGGTTATTATTCATCTAAATTTGGACAAGGTGAATACATAGTTGTTCATTATATGTAGGTCTTGTCACTGTCATAGTATTTTAAAATGACCAAATTATTGTTAACATTTCTTAAAATATGCCATTGACACCAGATAAAGTAAGCCACATTAATACATACACATATTTAGATCAATAAATTTATATTCATTTCTTATATTAGGGCTATCTAAATATTCAGATCCAAAGTATTTTTATCAGTGCTGGGAAAATCAACTTTTAACAACATATTATATTCATGAATATTAAGTTTATTTCTTCTAGAGTGAATAAACACAGAATCTGAGCATCTTTTGTACATTAAAGGTATAGACTTTTAACTGAAAAAAAGAGAAAAATAAAACAAAGGGTAGGACTTTTCTATAAGAAAGATTTTAGAGGCCATATCTATTTGATATGCTTCAAATCATTTTTTAAGTAAGCAGAGTATAAATAATAGATTTATTTTAAAATTTCAATTTGACACAATCCTATATTTTGTTTGTTCCCATATGTCTTTTCTGAGAAATTCCCTCTTTTGAATAAAGAGTTGGTGCATAGAAATTGGAAAGCATTTGCTGGATTATGCACAGAGCAGATGCCACTACTTTGAAAATCAATCATTCATTTCATTGTCATCTTTTACTTGAACACTGTTGATAAGCCTTTATTGTGTCATGGGTTTATATTTTTTATGTTCATTGTTTGTTATAATAGCACTGGGAAATAGTACTGGGAAATATAATAGTACTGGGAAATGATCTAAATTTGTATATATTATTGAAATTAAGGAATATTTTAAAATAGAATTTATTTATTTTACCAAAACATATATAATGGTGCATGTCAGCTGAAAATTGCCACTGTGTAATTTCTAAGAAACAGTTTTAGCATGACACTTGAATAATTACTTCATTATGAAATCATTAGAAATCACCACTGACAGTCACCCAAAACATTTATTGAACACCTGTTGTGCACAGAGCATACAGATGTTTCAGTCTATGACAGAAAATATGGATAAACCTTTCATCATATTTTAAAAAATGACTAATGACATACAATATTTTCAAAGGCTAAAATAACATCTTCAGTATTTGAAACCCATTCTACTTAGAAGTCAATAGAATTCCAAGAAATATTCTTGTGGATATTTTTCTTTCATTTTTGGAAATTAGTAAAATTTATAGAATACAGAAATGAAATTTGAATGACACATTAGAATTTTTACATAAATAATCTAGATAACTGAAAAGAGGAAATACAATAATTAGAGATGGCAGATAGCATTTTATCTTACAGTAATTACCTTTTAAAATGGAAAATAAAAAATGACTAGCCATATTTTGGGAAGTATAAAAAAGTTCATAAGAGAAAATAAATCAATGTTGTATTAAAATCACCCAGAAAAACTAAATTTAATATCTAGATTATTAGAGAGATACTATTCTAAGAAATATATGTTTGTTAAGTATGTATCAATTGAGTAATTTTACACAATATAGACTATAGAGAAAGAAAATAACAAAAACAACAACAATAATAATGGTAATAAACATCATTTATGCTGAGAGGAAGTTATAGTCAGTCACAGTCTTCTTAAAATAATTTACATGAAGCAAATAATACTACAAAAGGAAATATATTAATAAATTCTGTAGAGGGACTATTAGGATTTGTGTCTGTTTAGAATTTTCCCAACTTCTACAGTAAATCACCAATATGACTTTGGCCACATAAGAATGTAAGTCCGTTCAAACCATTCTCTCAGCCATGCATATAGAGTTAATACTGAAATTGACAAAATACTATAATGCTGTATAAAGTAAATGGCAAGCCTGTTTAATAGCTTGTGAACTGGTCAATTTTATGGGCTACAAAGTGATGGTTGTACAAGGGCATAAATCAGAAGCAGTTTCTAATTCCTTTGTAACTGCTTAAAAATACATTGTGCTTTTTTTCTGATTGTTTTATTTTTCTCCGAAAGATGCATTATATTTCTCTATTCAAATATTTGAATACATTAAGCTAATTAGAGTAATATGTCCTTCATTGCGTTGCCCTGTTTATGACCCCATCCAAATGTTTGGTAAATTACCCAAAGCTTTGTCTTTAAGTATAGAAGCTGGAAAAGCTAGGTGGGCACTTTGCCAGAGCCCTTGCAGTTAGTTACAGAATGGATGCATCCTCTAAGCTACGGACATTGGGTGTACCCACCCTGATTTCAATCTTAAGCTTTCGAAAGCTTAATGCAAAGACAAAGAGGATACTTAGAAATTCCTTCAGGAGGTAATGGTTACAACATGTAATTGTAGTGTTTAGTTCAATCTGATATTCACTGCAGTTAGTAGCAATGACCTCAATAAATAAGTCTTATGCAAAATTTTGTGCTGTTTCCTTATCATGCAGCAAAGAGTATGTTTCTCTACTCTTGTGGGTGATTTTATATGCTACCCAACATCTTTTAATGAATTCTTTATCAGGTTAAGTCATCTAGAACCTGTTTTTCTTGCTTGCAGCCAAGGATTTGGACATAAAGGGGTACAGACATCAGCAGTAGTTTGACAAAAGCTTCCAAAGACAATTGAGAGAATATGTGGTTGGTTTCCTAGACTGATTGGGGAAAAAGGCTTTATAAATCCATCCACTATTGAGGTTGGAACTTTGACAACAGAACTTACACATGTGCTCATGTAGAATGAAGTGCTTGTTGCTGGAATGGTATTTGAGACTATGTGCTTGTGCAGAATGGAATGAAAAGCATGAAAAATTCAAAGACTGGGGGTGAGTTGGTTACTACTAATAGAGATGGCTTGCTTAAAGAGGTCAAATTTCTGCACTTTCTTCCAAAGCTCAGAATGAATGTCAGAGACTTTCAAAGACTGTACTAAAGGAATCTTTTATCTCTTGCAGCTCTAGAGCTTCAAAACAAACTTTTGTCCCAAGATTAAATTTAAATTCCTATCAGGTATGTTACATTAAAGTTAGAAATAAAGCTGATTGGGAAGGCATGGGAACCTGGGAACTGAAAGGTAGATATCTGGGAGGGCTGAGATTGACACAAAATGATCCAAAGCTTGAATTCTTTCCTGCTACCTCCAATAC